TCTCTCTCTCTCTCTCTCTCTCTCTCTCTCTCTCTCTCTCTCTCTCTCTCTCTCTCTCTCTCTCTCTCTCTCTCTCTCTCTCTCTCTCTCTCTCTCTCTCTCTCTCTCTCTCTCTCTCTCTCTCTCTCTCTCTCTCTCTCTCTCTCTCTCTCTCTCTCTCTCTCTCTCTCTCTCTCTCCCTCCCCCTCTCTCTCTTTTTCTCTCTCTCTTCTCTCTCTCTCTTTTTCTCAGGCTCTTAAAGTTGCGTTTCCAACTGGCACGTTTCTAAAGAACGGAATCATTCAAGGAGTCAAAGTAATGAATACAACTAACATGAATATACATGTATAATAATAATAATAATAATAATAATAGTACATTGTGTGTGAATTGGCTGAGAAGCTCCATCTACTATTACTCATTTATCTTGTGTATGTACATATACATGTGTAATTGTGATTGTGTGTAGTACATTTGTCCTTATTATACTTCAAAGGTTAATTGTAATGTCATTGTACCCAGTACATTAATGAGTAGTTTGAGTACATTAATGATATAATGACAATCAAGTGCATGTACATGTACATGTATTGTTTGTTCTTTATAGGGTCTCTTGTCTTTCCTTTCTGCTCCATTACTTGGTGCTCTATCTGATGTCTGGGGCAGGAAGTCCTTCTTGTTGATATCAGTCTTCTTCACCTGTCTACCAATACCACTATTATTATTTGATTCATGGTAAACCCATCCTTCTTTCTCTCCTCCCTCTTCCTTTTTCTATCTCTTTCATTATATTTCTTCTCTTTTTCTTGGTTTTTCTTTCTCCCTCCCCCCCTCTCTCTTTCCCTTTTATTTATTTTTGCAGGTTATATTTCATAGTCATTGCTATTTCTGGTATATTCTCTGTTACATTCTCAATAGTCTTCGCTTATGTTGCTGACTGTACTAATGAAAAGCAAAGGAGCTACTCATATGGATCAGTAAGTAATAAATAAATAATAATAAATAAATAATATTGATGCTTATAAGTTCTTTATTTTTGTGGGATGACCCTATAAAATTTGTAAAGAAGCTATAAAATTTTATTTTACATTTGTATGTGTACAATGTACTGTGTAATTGATTTAACACTGTGGTTTTTAATTAATTACGTTTCATTTTCTTGTTGGCAGGTTTCTGCTACGTTTGCTGCCAGCCTAGTCGTCAGTCCTGCTTTAGGAACCTGGCTGACCAGTTTTGCCGGTGGCCAGAACCAAGTCATAATCCTAGCGTCCATAATTACAATATTCAATTTATTTTTCATCATTTACATTGTTCCCGAGTCACTGCCCGAGACCTCAAGGAAGACATCATGGGGTTCTCCTATCAGCTGGAAACAAGCTGACCCTTTTGCTGTAAGAGGGAGAGACAGAGGAGAGGAAATTTAATAGAATATAAAATACAGGAGTTCTGTTGAACTAATAGAACTTCATAATAATAATCTACTCTTAATATCACATGCATGTACATGTACATTTATGAAGCAGAAAAGAGT